ACAGTATTTTTCAATCAATTTCATTAGTAATTCATTCAAGCAATAGTCAGCAATAGTTTTAATCCCAGAGGATTAACGTTTGGAGAATGCAAGCCTGTATCTGACCTGGGAGGGTTGTGGCTCCCTGTGGAGTGTTTCCTGGCCTTTCTCAGAACTCTGGGATCCAGCCTCAGGAACGCAAAATAAAACGTTTGTATTATATAGATACAGTACGTCCCGTCCCCCTAAAGATTTCTTATTATCTCTAAGTGTTAAAATGGTAACGAACTACACAATAGACAAGCCTATTGCCTTGAGTGTTGACAGCTTAAAATCAAGCACAGTGCCTGCCTCAGGATCAGGTGGGTCAGCAGTGCTTGTACTCCAGAAAAATTTTTGTACGATTGAGGAAGAAGAGTTTCAAGCAAATGCTATTTATTTCTCCAAATACTAATATCAATTCAAATTTAGGTGAAAATATAAAAGAATAAAGCCAAATTGTCAAAAAAAAGAAATTGTGTAAGTTGTACAGGTTACATAATACGCTGGCATCATGTGTGCAGCCATTAAAGGTTCAGGTTCACAATTAAGAAAAGTTTCCTCAAGTGTTAACAAAATAATTACCCTCAGTAAAGTGCATTTTCCTACTCTGGTGCACAAAATAATAACCTCCCAAAGGAGTGCATGTCACATCCCCGGAATCTGTGGATACTTTACAGGACAAGGAATAATTATTCCTGCAGGTTGCTATGTCTCTGAGTTTAAATCACCAAGGTTTTGCTGCTGTGTCGTGTGAACCCAGTATAATTTCCATCATTAAATTTAGATGGAGAGAGAGAGAGGGTCAGAGAGAGGAGTCAGAGGGTCACGAGCCCGAGACACCAGTGGCGGCTGTTTGTTTGGAGGAAGCAAACTTTGAGAACTGAGCTCAGGCTCTCGGAGGTGGAAGTGCTGGCTAGCAGGAGACTCTCCGAAGAACATCCAAGGCCAGTGCACCCCTGTTGACATCTGATTTCTCACATAGTGACACCCATGTTCCAGAATTACAACCAGAAGAATCTGTGCTGATCAAGGGGTGCCCAGCGTTCTGACTTTGCCACATCATTGTCAGCTACGAAGTTCACACTCAAGAACTGCGCAACTGAGTTACAAAACAACTTATAAAACAAGCATGCCATAATGTTTAAGTATGTTTAACACTTTCTTTGGGATCACATGCGTAGCTAAGCTTGGCCACATATGAGCTGTGGGGCCTGTTCATGTTATAGCAGTGGGCGTATACAGATACAGACCATCTCTCAGAGATTTATTTTCAAAGTCTTACTATGAATCCTTCAACTCCATAAGCTTGGAAATATTTATTTTATGTAAGTTTTGAGGTGCCTTTCATGGTGTGAATTTTTTTTTTAATTCTCTTTACCTTGCTTTGAGGAAACAGCTTTATTGCAAGGCAAATAGATGGAGGTGAAGAATGTCTGATCAGAGCTGACAGGAGACACTCCAGAACCTCTACCGCCGTATATCTGGGTCAATGATCACCATTAGAAGGATTGCAAGTAAACGTGTTTTCCTAGTCTGTTCACAAGAAGAAAATGATAACAGTGATAGTGTTTGGTTTACATAATGAAGGTTTTGTTACTGTGCTGTTTTTCAGCTAGGCAAATAGGTAACAAGGCCCAGTGTCCTTCTGTCTCCATCTGACTCAGTGCCGAGCTTACAGGTGTGCAAAGGACCATGTTGTAGGTCTTGTGCATGGCTGCTGGGATCTGAATTCTGCTCCTCCTGCACCTGCACCAAGCACTCTGACCTGCTAAGTCCTCTCTCTAGTCACTGAAAAATTTTAAACAAATTTTCTCACTCATTTTCCTTGTTATATTTTGTCAAAATTACTATGACCTGCATATTACAAATGCTTAAAAGAAACAAGTATAAAAAGTAATTGAATGGTTAGAGAAGAGAATCAAACATACAGGCTCATAAAATTATTTTCTGAGTCCTGTATTACACCTCAGCCACCTGGTGAGGGACCAGTGCAGAAGACAGAACAGGACTGTAAGAACCGGGGTGGTGGGCAACCTCATATGACCTCATATGAACCTACAGCAACAGTAACAGGGTGCACAAGATCCATGTAAGCTCAAACTACATACACACACACGCACACGCGCAAGCACATGCACATATATATGCATAGAACTTGGGAAATTGGCAAAAGACCCCAAACTTAACCAAGAAACTATTGACCCTGATCACTGCTGAGTAAGGGAAAGTTGGTCTTCTTTAAGGGAATGATGCTAGATAAATTAACCAGGCTCCAGTAGACAAACTCACACTGAGGGACACAAACTATATATATATAGTATATATATGTTATATATGTGTGTGTGTGTATATATATATTATATAGGTCATATACGGCATAACATATGACAGAATGCATGAAATATGGTGGGGGATATGGAAAGAGCAGGTAAGGGAGGGGTTCTAAATACAACTAAGATATATTTTATAAAATACATAAAACTCAATTAATGTGTGTACCGACAAAACAGACAAACAAGGAGAACACCAGGCAGGTGCTGCCCACCTGCAGTCACAGAAGGCAGATTCTTGAATTTGGGTCTGATCTAGATGCACAGTGAAATTCCACCTCAAATATAAACAGAAAGTACATAAAAATGGCATAATTTAGTGTATTTGAAATGCTAAAATGAAAATACAACACAGTTATAAAAAGTCTTTGCTGAAGCCTGTGGAAGCACAGATAGAGCTGTATCGAGGGAACATTTGGGAGCTCTTTCCTCCCTCGGCATGATGCACAGGATTCTGTCTCTATTGCTACCCAAACTCTTAGGACGTTCTCATGCACCTCATCAGATTCCGTGTTGTCATATGACTTACCGGCACCTGAAGTAATATTGTCTATATTTGTAAAAATAATTCACTAGAGGTTTAGTGGGAAAAACTTTTTTCTTGAGTCTGTGCTATGTAAGAAGGTGGATCCTCACAGTGACAGGTACATCTGTCAGAGCTCTCTGCAGACCCGTGCTGCCCAGGTTAGTAACGACCAGGGAAATAAAGTAGTCACTGAGGACTCAGTGCTCAGCAAGAGGAGAGGGGCTGGCACCACAGGGGCTCAGATTGGCTTAAATTGGCCCTCGAGATAATAGACTATTACACCGGCCTCTAACGAGGGAAGTATCGTGGCCTTACACTGATAATCATTCTCAGCTCTGGCTAAGCCCAGGCTGAGTGTCTAATAAATGTCACTTCTGTGTTCATTTCATCAGAAAGGACTGATTACATGAAACACAAGGTTAGTCTGATTTCTGATCAGCACTTAATATCTGGCATCAGGCAGATCTGAGCTTGAATTACAATTTCACCACTCACTAGTTTCATTAACTTGAATGAATTATGACAAAATCTCTCAAAATTTGGCTTTCTTTGTTAAACATGGTCATCATGAATGACTTACTCTTGGGTTTTGAAGCTAATGCATTACTAAACTCAATGAATATTGTATTGAGCAGCCTGTTTGTAACAGGAGCATTACGGACTGTGCTCCACTGAAGACCGCATCTGAGTAGGAAGCAAATCTTGTCATTAAACTTCCATACTGCAGTGTTTACTTTGAGAGAAATAAGAGGCTGAACAAGTAGGAAAAAAAAGAGGCTTTATACACCGCAGATGAAGGTCTGTGAGACGATGGCTTGGCATACAGTACGACCTGCCAAAAACTGTCCTTGAAGGCCTGGCGCCAGCTGGTGGGCTATCAAAATGCCATTGGGTCACAGTGATAGTAACTCTATCACAGGCAATGAGAACTTGGGAAGGACTAAATCATGAAAATAATAACTACATAACAGGATAAAGAATCAAAGAGAGTTTAAAGCAGTGGAGTCTGGAAAATACACTTGGGGAAGACAACGGCTTACTCCAGGTGAGTCGTCGTCAGAACGTACGAGCGACTTCAGTCTGGGGGAGCTTTGCATCGCTGTCACCCTCCGAGCCAGCCTGCCAGATGACTTTAGGTATCTATAATTTATTTGTCAATTACCAGCAATCCACACTCCATTTACCCTGAATTCACGGCCTTGACTCTTCTCATTTTCCCTAACGCTCTGCCCACCTCTTTGCCCACGTTTCTTCATCTTGATGGTAAAATTACTTTCTTTAGAATCTGTTTATTCTTCAAATCTCTTTTGGAAAATCAGACACTCATGTATTGAAAATTAAATCGTGCCCAACGTCCTCTCGGGTTCTGTGGGAAGTCTGGCTCCAGCTCCAAAAATGTCCAGTTCGGGGGTGTTTAGTTTTCTTGTTCCTCATATACAATGAAATCCCAATGTTGTCCACATTTTCTTATTGGTTTCGTTTTTCATTATGTGCTAAACACATAAGAAATTTGCACTCCTGAGAAGGATTGGGGGGGAGGGTTCTGATCAAAATATATCACATCCATGCATGAAACTCTCAAAAGATCTTATAAAAATAAAATTTTTAAGAAAAAGAAATTACCCTCCTGACCGTGATTTCCTGCCAACAAATCTGTCATGCGTAAGTACAAATGAGAGGTAGAGCCAACACTCCTGAGCTGGGAGTAAGTCTTACGGAGAGAGGTAATTCTGCGGCAGGTGGACCAAGCTGAAGCTGGACATGAGGGCCTTCTTCTGAGCTGTGACTACATTTCCTCACTAGATGGTCTGGACTTTTCTTCGGGACCCTTAATCTTCTGTTCTGTTTAGTACCTTATCTACTTAGTCTCTGTCTTTTAAGCACATTTTGTATTTGAAAAGCAAGTTTCAGTCCCAAAGTCAGTTTCAGTTCCACTTTTGCATATTCGGATTATCCGGAGCTGGACATGGTGGTACATTCTTGTAATTGCAGTGCTGAGAATGTGGAGGACCAGGAGATTAAGTCCAGTCGAGGCTATGTAGAGAGTTTGAGGCCAGCCTGGGCTACATGCATCCCTCACTTTTCATTCCCTCCCCAAGACAAGCTTTAGTGCTTCTACTCACCTTAGTCCATCAGCTCTGGAGCAGCAGGACCCAGCACAGATTCTATTCTTCCCAGCAGACATAGTGGCACACCTTCCTGCACATCTGTCGCTTTTTGAAAATGGAGAACGGTGGATTCCAGAGCCCTGGTGGTGATTTGACATTTCCTTCAGATGGACAGTAAAAGTAACAATTTTAGAGGCAGCACAGAAAATTAGTTGGTATTGAATTCATATGCTAATTTTTTATCATCTCGCGTTGAGGTCTTAATCAGTGTTTTCTCTCATCTTTACCTTACATTGTGATATTACCTCAACTATTTCCAAAGCAGAATAAGTATTCTTGACAATCACTTATGTTTGGGACACTCAAGTGTATATCTCAGTATTTATTTCTTGAACAATAAGCTCCATACGGTTTCCCCACCCGTACCTCTTGCCAAGCCTTCTTTTCCACTTTAATGTGGAGTTGTTTTTCTCTCACCTTATTTTTCATAGCTCCTTCTGCCTGTGAAGAATCTCTCTTCTGCTCAGAAGCAAACACTATTATCTTCAAGCTGTGCCACCTTCATCAACACTTTCTTTGCCCTCTAGGGAGACCTACTCTCATGCTTTTCTATCATGAAGGCTGCCGTGTCTTTCTCCTGTGCAGACAGATCAGGGGCCCCATGATGGCACACAGAGTAGCTCTCTATCTATTCCGGTTTCCAGCCTTCCACCCTCTTCATCTTTCCCCAATTAAAATCTCCATTCCTGTTTGGTCACGGTACACTTTTTCCCAGAATGTTTGGGGAAAGTCTCATCGGTGAATAATCTCACATCAAAACAGAAATCTGAACAGAGGAATCCTAACTCTATTAGAGTGGTCAGTGTCCAGACCGGTCACTGCAGTGGCCTTGGAAAGCTCTACTGAGCTGTGAACAGCAGTGGTGATCAGAAGAAACTTACTGACAAAAAAATGAACAGACCAGAGCATCTTACCTTGTATTCATCAGAGCAGCACAGCGTAGAAGGAGCCCTTCATTGCTTCACCTCTGACACCTAAGTACTGTCACGGTCCAGTGTGAGCGAGACAGGTGTCCTTTTAATCATGCCAACTGGATCACGTCTGCCAAGCAGGAAGAGAAAGAGAGAGAAGAGGAAGAACAGGAAAAGATGGAGAGGAATTGCCTTGCAGTGCCTTGGATTGGTCTCAGAGATGGTGCATAGTCAGGCATGCAAAGACGGGTGAATGGAAAAAGTTCACAGGGTATAATCCACACAACATACACCTGTTGAGGGTCACGCCCTCTTAATTTCCATATCTTTACCCAGTTCCCCTTATGCTGATTATAAACCACACACCCCACTTCATAGCTTCCCTTAGACCCACTCACCTCTGCTAGTTTTTAGATGCACCATGTCCTCCAAACACTGTCTGATAAACTTCAGTGTCAATCTCAAGAATGGGTCTTTGGCTCCAACACTGAGGTCAAAGGAGCACTTCTCAGACATCTACTGTGACCTCAGACCTGCAAGACTGGCTTTAGATATTTCAATAAGAAACAACTGGCCCCACTTCTGGGATCTTGCAAAATGAAACGCAGAGTTGTAAAATTAACAGACAATAATCTGTAAAATCTTGCCTGCCCTATAATATTCTGTTCTGGTTAATTGAGAGGTATCACCATGAAAATCCCCAGAAGATCTCAACTAAAGAGGTATAAGATGTTTCCAGAAGGAAGTTCTGTAAGCAGCAGGTGTGTCTGCTGATAGAATAAACTCTGTTTTAATTAAACAGTATTTCCCCACAGAGTACATACATATGTTGTTTACTCAACTTTTCTAAGGTTCATTAACACATCCCCATTCTCCTTTCTTCCCATCACACAGGTTAAAAGATTTCCTTTAACTAATTCTCATTACACAACTTGTTCTCATTAAGAAAGTTGTGTAGAAAATGTACTAAGCTTATGGCAAGTTTTTATTCCTTACAGAATGGCCCATCTAAAAATTCAGCCGAAACCATTCAGAGTCTTACACACAGTCTTTTATCTGAACTTATAAAATTTACTTGGGTATTTTATTGTAAAGAAGTGTGCTTTAAAATCATAGCACAGAAAAAATATTTTGAAATTTTCTCTTTATATCCAGAGAAATGCACACATCTGTTAATAGGAAGGGGTCACGTAGTGTATCAGGTAGTTCCCACAGTCTGACCCAATATGTTATCTCACACACACACAGACACACACACACACACACACACACACACACACAGAGGAGAGAGAGGGAAGGAGAGAGAGAGAGAGATACACACATAGACTTACAGGCACAGAGACATATAACAGTCACATACATACACAAAAAGACACATACAGAAACATATACATATAACACAAACATAGACCATACACAAACACACGAATACACAGGCATGCACACACAGAAATACACACAGACACCCACAGAGACACAAAGATGTAGAGCACAAACATACAAAGATACGCATACACACAGGCACATATAAACACATATAGGCACATACCATACACAGAGATACATACACACACCACACACACATAGACATGCCACACAAAAGACACACACATACTCTGATGAACACAGGGTTCACACATACTAGTGCTCTACCACTGAGTTATAGTCACAGCACTTTTGATTCCCTTTCTAATTGCCGTCAAGATCCCTCTAGGATGCCCAGACTGATCTAGAGCCCAAACTGTAGCCTATGCAGATCTTCAACTTGTGATTATCCTGCCTCACACTCTATTTTCTAAGAAGCTGGGATTATACGCAAGTATCATCAGGTCTGGCTACTGTGTTGTATTTTGAACTAAATAGTTGTAAATTAATTTTACAGTTTTCACAAGGACATACCCACTCTCCTGGAGAAGAATCAGTTGTGAAGTCACTATCATGTCATCCCATGAATTTACAAAGTTCCCTGTTTTGATGTCCCTAGGAGACTTTGCTAAAGGTGAGAGTCCATGTGGTTCTATAATAGTGAGCATCAATTGTCAAACGTCATTGGATTAGGAATCATCTTGGAGCTCCACCTCTGGGTGTATCTGTGAGAGTTTAGCTGAGAAGACCTAAGCAAGGGAAGGTGGTATGGTTCCATGAGCAGGGCTCCTGCACTGAATAGAAATGAGAATGCAAGCCAAACACTGGCCTTCACCTCTGCTTCCTGACTGTGACCAGCTATCCCATGCTCCCTCTTCCATATTCTACCTGCCATGATGGGTTATAATCTTAAAATAAGTCCTTCCTTCTTGAAGCTGCTTTTGTCAGACATTTTGTCATAGAAACAAGAAGGCGGGTGATGCAGTACCTCATGTCTCCCCACACTGTCACAAACCCACAGCAATTTATGAAAACACACGTTACGTTCCTACCAGATAGGCTGCTTGGCAGAGAAGGTTAATGCACTCACTTCTGAGAGACGTGATTAAAATGTCACTGAGTTATGATCAACCTACTTTATTCTATTGCGAAGTGTTGACATGTTGACTACTGAAAGCCAACTAAAAGAAATCCCGCAGCTTTGGGTTGTGTTGTTCTCTGATGTATGACATCACAGGGTGGGGGCCATAGACTCAGACCCCAGGTGGGGGATCCCAAGGGAAGAAGAGGAGGCATTTGGTTAATTTGAAACAGAGATGAGGGAAGAGTCCCCACTGTGCCTGAGAGTTCAGTGCAAGCCAGGCCATCAACATCTCCTGTGAATCTTAGGAGAGTTACAGCTAGGGGAGGCTCTTGCTTGGTTTGTTGACAGAATAACACTGTGAAGATCTTAGCTATATCTTCATAGGGAAGTTGGCAAAGCAGGTATGTAAGAGCACGGAACCAAAATGCACACATGGATGCAAAATCCAGATATGGTCACATTGATCTGCAGCTCCTGGCACGTCACGGTGTACATGTTCACCCATCTGATGAAAGCCTTCTTGAGGAGAAGTCCAGGAGCCAGTCAGAGAACTCTCAAAGGGCAGAACAGCT